TTTTTTTTTTTTTTTTTTTTTTTTTTTTTTTTTTTTGTCTATTCATTCTGCTGTTTTATGCCGTAATTTTTCATGATAAATTTAGTTATGATTCTAGATGGCAGTACAAGTTTTCTGTTACCAAAGTCGAAAGATGGTTTCACTCTTGTCAAAACAGTAAATTTAAATAAAAAAACAACAAAACCTTGTGAAATATTATGACAATGGACAAATCAGAGAAACCTCTTGCAATATTATGTTGTATAGATGAAACATGTCGAACTACAACCATGAACTATATAACTGTCACATTCTTGCTGACCTTTGAACTTCAAGTTTTGCAACCAGGCTTCTATCTAAATTGGTAAGACTATGGTTCAACAAAACTCCGAAAATACTAACTTTGTAACTAGATTGTAACGGATATTCATACAATATAATAGGGATGATGATACATGTTCAACCATATCTATTTTTGTAATAAATATAAATCAACAAAATGGTATTAAATAAAGCTACAATTACATCAATTCGAGTTTTTGTTTTGTCAAATACAGTTTTTTGAAACCATTTTGCGTGTTGTGTAACATTTCTTACTTAAATTTATCACAGCGGTATGTCTGTGGACTTACAGCGCTAGAAACCGGGTTTCGATACCCGTGGTGGGCAGAGCACAGATAGTCCATTGTTTAGCTTTGTGCTTAACTTCAAACAACAACTTAAATTAAATCTTATAGTCAGTTCTGTGCCTTTTAATGTGCTACCATACTTTAGCTTAGGATTGAAAAACTTCAACTTCGTATGTATTTTTTTTAGGTACACCAGAATGCCTGCTCTTGGACATCTCTTCAAACGAATTCAGGGTATCCCCAGGGGGATATGATACAGACTCAATAACTCAACAGACCTGTGCAGGACTATGTGCAGAGTCAGACTTTGCTTTTGCAGGATTGCAGGAAGGAATGTACTGTCTTTGTAGTAATGATATATCATGTAAGTTTTTGGTTACTTAGCAGTAAAAATTTTTCCTGTGATCATTTTTAATAGGCATAGCAGTGTGTATTTGTGGGAAAATACATTGTTCAGTGCTTTTATGATGTGGAAAAATAATTTCTTTATATAGTTTTGATAAATAGTATTGGGAAACCCAAGCTTTATTATAGCATTGACAATTTTTCTGTTTGTTTTAAATTACTTTCAGTTGCTTCCTCTTACTTTTTATGCTTTTTGTCACGTTCTTGACAAATCACTCGGTTAATAAAAAGGACTGAATGATATACCAAATTTCTTAGGAAATCTTACCTAGGCCACTCAGGCTGCATCACATTATAAATTTCTTAGGAAAGGAATATTTATTATTTATCAGACTTAGAAATCTATAAAATAGGTGATTCATCGCTTTTAAATGAAAAGTTTTACCATTGTCTAAAGACAGCGGTAGCCCAAAACCCATTCGACAAGTTCATAATATACACACACACATTATTATTTCCAAATAGATCTGTACACTAAGGATAAACACGTAGGAAATTCAAATACTTAATTACTTACATATTTAAAACCTTACAAGTCCTGAGATTCCCAATAAGTCCTAAAATTGGGGGGGGGGGGTATAAAATAATAATTCCCTACATTTGGGGATCATTTCTTAAAATGTGTACCACCTACATATAGAAGTGAATGGCCTGGAATTACTTACCAGCATATATTTTCTTGCAGGTGTTATTCTATAAAACTTTTTTTATGCATTTGTAAATTTTCTAAAGGCAGTTGTAATTTTTTTTTAATCAACATTTTGTCAGAGGATCGTTAACTGTAAGGAGGAGTATTTAACGTGTTTTATACCAAACAGGATAACTTCACGAAGAAAACTGTAATACTTATGTTCAAACTTAACTCAAAGAAAAGGTGCATTAAACTCTTAAATATAGTATAATAAACAAATATATTACTAAAAAATGTGCCTTTTGTATGAAAATCGAAAATCCTATTGTTGCATAATTTACATCACAAAATAATATACTAACATGGTATAATTTTTTCCAGTTTTATGTTGATAAAAGTGGAAAACAAATTACAACATAACCATTTTTTTTTCTTAATTTGGTAAAGTAACAGTTTTAGTTGTTGTTGTTATTTGGATAAATTTTAATATTCTGAAATATTATTGTCTAAAACTGGAATTTATTTATAAAAAACTGTAACAACACCAAAGTTTCCTTACTCCTTAACATTTAAAAGATTTGATGTTTGTCACCTTTTTGTTTTTTATAAGTTTTAGATTTTTTTGGGTGAAGATAAAAGGCCTAACTTGGTGTGATTTATGTCTGCTTTTCCCATAGTGTCCACACCAGTAACACTGGCGGACTGTTCAACACCATGTACAGGTGACCTCAACGTTTTCTGTGGTGGTCCAGAACTAAATCACGTGCTGGCCGTGGTAGCTGGAAACACTGAAAACCTTTATGAAGCACTTCTTACAATTACACCTGTTAATATCTCAGCTGGAGGTAACGAACCACACTATCTTGGAAAATAAGTCACAGTTTCTGAGTGCTGCATCATAGATAAATAAAGACACGTTTGGGCCCATCAAGGATGTCCAGACTCTCAAAAATCGGAAAATCAATTACTAAGTCCATCCTTAACACATATTATTTAAATCGAACACTATTAATGCCAACATAGGACTAAAGATAAAACATGTTTAATGGGTGTTACTTATGTCCTGTGTCATTGACTGTTATAATTAATGTATGTTATATATTGAGACATCTACATACAATTCACAGAATTGTATTTTTATAAATATATATGAACATCATAGTATATTGTTTTAGCATTATCTGTTTTTTAATATATTTAATGTAGACATCCCTTGTAATAAACTATGTCATCAGTCTCTATACTGCACAGAATATAAACATGAAATTATAGAGTATGAATAAGAAGTATTAAGTAGACTGTGGAAAATAAGTCTAATCCACAGAGTAAATAAACTTAAGTTTCACTCATGTTGTGTGTATTTAGCCATCTTCTGTTAGGTATATACATCCTAAACTTTATCTTAGTCATGTTAACTCTAGCCATCTTCTGTTAGGTATATACATCCTAAACTTTATCTTAGTCATGTTAACTCTAGCCATCTTCTGTTAGGTATATACATCCTAAACTTTGTCTTAGTCATGTTAAATCAAGCCATCTTCTGTTAGGTATATACATCCTAAACTTTATCTGAGTCATGTTAAATCTAGCCATCTTCTATTAAGTATATATGTCATAAACTTTATCTGAGTCATGTTAAATCTAGCCATCTTCTATTAGGTATATACATCCTAAACTTTATCTGACTCATGTTAAATCTAGCCATCTTCTATGATGTGTAAACATCTATACATCTTAAACTTTTAGTCATGGTAAATCAAGCCATCTTCTATTAAGTATATACATCCTAAACTTTATCTGAGTCACGTTAAATCTAGTCATCTTCTATTAAGTATATACATCCTAAACTTTATCTGAGTCATGTTAAATCTAGCCATCTTCTATTAAGTATATACATCCTAAACTTTATCTGAGTCATGTTAAATCTAGCCATCTTCTATTAAGTATATACGTCCTAAACTTTATCTTAGTCATGTTAACTCTAGCCATCTTCTATTAAATATATATGTCATAAACTTTATCTGACTCATGTTAAATCTAGCCATCTTCTATGATGTGTAAACATCTGTACATCCTAAACTTTTAGTCATGTTAAATCTAGCCATCTTCTATGATGTATAAACATCTATACATCCTAAACTTTTAGTCATGTTACATCTAGCCATCCTTACAGACGCCTCCTATAATTATATTAGACACAGCCTTGGCAGAAGATTACTTCTTCAGATAATTAATACTTCCTGTGATTTTTACTTGGATGATATATTCCAATGACCAGTTGAGAAATATTAAATTTTCAGAAAAGAAAGACAGATGGAAAGATGGCTAGTTTTAATATAATTTAAATCAAATTTAGGATATATCTGCTTAATATATGAAAAGACAGATACTTTTAACACAAGTCACATAAAATATAATTTATTATATTTTAATAAATAAAGATTGTTACTCAGTTACATTTCTTGGAATCTTTAAGTGAAATACAAGATCCAAGTAAAAATCACAGGAAGTATTAATTATCTGAAGAAGTAATCTTCTGCCAAGGTTACTCAGTTACATTTCTCAGAATCTTTAAGTGAAATACAAGATCCAAGTAAAAATCACAATTATCTGAAGAAGTAATCTTCTGCCAAGGTTACTCAGTTACATTTCTTAGAATCTTTAAGTGAAGTACAACATCCAAGAAGATTGAATACTAAATTCTAGCGAACGTCCCTTGTGGTATCACTTATAAGGGGGATTAACAAGATTCAAGGGGAGTAATGTAAATACCAGTTTCTGGAGGACATTATTCCATGATTACAAAACTTTAGAAGGGGGGATAACACGAAGTCTCCAATTCAAGGGGTTGTAACAGAGAATACCAGTATTTGTCATTATGGTATAAAGATCCATAAGTAGAAGAACAATTACAGAATGCACCTAGCTACATGTATTATTTATGTAACTGTGTTTATTGATTTATTTGATAAAAAGTTATCTTGGTATTTTTTAAATTCATGTAGACTCTGTAAGTGGATCAGTTTCTGTGAATGCCTCATCAGGACTAGCGATTGACGTTTATGTGGACTTCGGAGACGGCACTTTTACAACAGGAAATGAAACCTCTTTAACGTTTACCAAGCATTATGCCATACCAGGGACATACGTTATTAGAGCCTCTGCCAGCACTCCCTCAGACCTGCTGTTTGTAAGTTATTTTGACTGTAGAATCTTTAGTATGAAAGTAAAGAAAATGCTCACAGTAGCAGTTTGTAAAGATTTAACAAAAGTTTATTAAAACGTTTTGATAATGAACCTATGATATTCAATCATTAGCTATGCCTTAACTTATGCTGTATCCATAGTCCATATGATACTGAACCTTTGATATTATGCCTTTTAGCTGTACCTCTGATGTTCGTTCTTCTTGCCTCATCTTTTGTGCTTTGCTTGTTAAGTATTTTTATCAATTTTAATTTATATTCATTTTCCAAAAATAACTGACTGTCATCTAATATTTGTTCTTGATATTGAACTTTTTCTCATGTGACTGAATTTTATCGTTCAGTATTTGAAACTTAAACACAGGAGATAAGATTTTGTCTCTTGTGACTGAATTCTATCATACAATATTTGAAATTGAAATACAGGAAATAAGATTCTGGTTTTGTATGTAAGTGCTATCATTCAGGAATTTTAATTGAAACATGAGAAATAAAAAAAAAATTAACAAAGTTTATACAAGACACTTGTTTAGAATTTCTTTTCTTTTCAGCCTGTTTCTGATGCAAAGATAGTAAATGTAGTCGACAGTGGTCTTGCTGGAGTCATTGAATGTCCTGAAGTCGCCCAGCCTGGGGAAGAGTTTGTCTGTAGTGCTCTTGTATACCAAGGAAGTGATCTACTGATGGAGATGGACATTGAAGATGATCCAGCATCTCCACAGCTTTTTACAATAGCTGGTAACTTCAATCTTATTTAAAACTTTAATATTTTGTTCTTGTGGTTAATGATAAAAGAAGAAAAGTGAATGAAAAACATATTAATGTCTGTCAAATTTAAACATTTCTACATAAGAATGTTCTTGTACTTTTTAAAATAAAACTTTTCATCTTGAGACAGGTAGTAAAACATTTAAAGAGTTAACAGTTTTTAAATTAATATATAACGCTGCCTTAAGATATGAAAGTTTATGAAGAAAACTGCTGTACAAGTTTTAAAGGTGTACTCTTGTAATATTTATTGTTATTAGCTGTGGTAGCAGATCGTGTAAAAGAAAAAAAAATTCAGTGAATTAAGTGTAAATGTTTTACTCTGCAGGTCAGTGAATCAAGGGTGAATGTTTTACTCTGCAGGTCAGTGAATCAAGTGTGAATGTTTTACTCTAGAAATCTGTGAATCAAGGGTGAATGTTTTATTCTTCAGATCCTGTGGTATCAGGTCACGGTAATACTGTACCAGACATTATTATGCCTCAGATGGTTACAACCCCTCTCTCTGAACCCGAAGTTATGATGACATACATAGAGATGCCACCTGGGAAACTGCATGCATTTGAATACTTTTCCACTGGAGCTGGATCTCTTGACCTCTTGGTAAGGACCTACTTTGTGTTTTTCCTCATGAAAAATGCAGTGCCTACACATTTAAAGATGGGCCTGAGTTAATATCCATCGATGGACTTGTAGTTCAAAACATAAACAGTTTCTTCTTTATTAAAACATTACGATGAAATAAAATATAGCTTTGTACAAACTTTTCATGGTTGTGATGTGGAACAAAATTCACACTTTTCATTTTCTACATCTCTTCAACTGTTTTGTTCAGCTGTGTTCTCAGACATTTAATAAACACATATCAGTAATTATTAGTACAGCAAAGTTGTCACCTCTGTTAATTCTAAAAGTGGTAATTGTTAGTTATAACTAAGTTATTATCTCTGTTAATTCTAACAAGTGTTAATAGTTAATTATAACTAAAGTGTCAGCTCTGTTAATTCTAACAAGTGTTAATTGTTAATTATAACTAAAGTGTCATCTCTGTTAATTCTAACAAGTGTTAATAGTTAATTATAACTAAAGTGTCAGCTCTGTTTTATTCTAACAAGTGTTAATAGTTAATTATAACTAAAGTGTCAGCTCTGTTAATTCTAACAAGTGTTAATAGTTAATTATAACTAAAGTGTCAGCTCTGTTAATCCTAACAAGTGTTAATTGTTAATTATAACTAAAGTGTCAGGGTTAATTGTTAATTATAACTAAAGTGTCAGCTCTGTTAATTCTAACAAGTGTTAATTATAACTAAAGTGTCATCTCTGTTAATCCTAACAAGTGTTAATAGTTAATTATAACTAAAGTGTCAGCTCTGTTAATTCTAAAAAGTGTTAATTGTTAGTTATAACTAAGTTATCATCTCTGTTAATTCTAACATGTGTTAATGGTTAATTATAACTAAGTTATCAGCTCTGTTAATTCTAACAAGTGTTAATTGTTAATTATAACTAAAGTGTCAGCTCTGTTAATCCTAACAAGTGTTAATAGTTAATTATAACTAAAGTGTCAGCTCTGTTTTATTTTAACAAGTGTTAATAGTTAATTATAACTAAAGTGTCAGCTCTGTTTTATTTTAACAAGTGTTAATAGTTAATTCTAACTAAAGTGTCAGCTCTGTTAATTCTAACAAGGGTTAATTGTTAATTATAACTAAAGTGTCAGCTCTGTTTATTCTAACAAGTGTTAATTGTTAATTATAACTAAAGTGTCAGCTCTGTTAATTCTAACAAGTGTTAATTGTTAATTATAACTAAAGTGTCAGCTCTGTTAATTCTAACAAGTGTTAATTGTTAATTATAACTAAAGTGTCAGCTCTGTTAATCCTAACTATAATGGTAATTTCTTTTTAAACTTATTAAATCTTCCATATTTCAGTTCCAACCAGAAGATATATTTTTTCAAACTTTACAATATGTTATTCATTATTCTAATTAATGTAATTCATATTGCTATTTAATCCTTGTTTTCTAGTTCTTATTTCAGAAGAGAGAAACAGTAATGTTGCTGTGTTAACTTTATCATAGAACTAGTTGTTGTTTTCCTTTCCAGGTTTTCCGTCCAAACTGTGGTGATGACGTGTACTGTCCTCAGACTAAAAGTTGTGCTGCTACCTGTAAAGAGCCAGGAATTGTGGTCTGTCAAACTACCGAGGCATTGTGTCCATTTAGTGGAGGTTGTGCCAACACGGCCACACCCCCTTTATGTTCTCTATCGCCTTCAGGACTGACGTACGATCGACTGTACACAATCCCCGTTTCTCCTGCTTCCGAGGGCTACAACTATCATCTCTTGGCCGATAGTACATACGAGGTAAAGCCAGGGGATGTCTTTGGTTTTGCCAGTGGAACTTCTAGTATTGCATATAGGAGTGCTTCTGCATCAGAGATGACCCAGGGCATAGTGGATTCCAGCCCCAGTGCACCTCTCAATGTGCGACATTTTTTGCGGGGTGTGGTTGCAGAACCTGTGAACATTAGTATATCACATATATTTTCAGAGGTAATACTCCATATATTACTTCATCTCCTGATTTGTTACTTGAATTACTCGATAAGGACTAAAATAGAATTATATGTAAGAAAACAACTGATACTGTATGTAAAGTCAATAGTATGATTCGCAATACTAACTAATCCGTTAACTAGTCTTCCCCTAGTCTTTAACCTAATTTTGTAATACTGGCATCTTTACTTATGCCATTTCTACGTGTATGTATATCACACTCAGAATACTTAAATCTCTATAGCTTCTTTCTTAACTGTTGAACATGAAAATACTGAAGCAATTGTAAAACTCCCTCAACAATCTCTAATTGCTTTTATTACCTAGAAGAACAGTAAAATATTTTCAGTTAGGTCTCAGGTCCCTTTTGTTTCCTCAGTTCACAAAGACCCTAATGTTTGAGAGACAAATTGTCTTGGTGCCTAAATGTTTCTATTCAGTACATACATAACTTCATGTACAATGTACACTAAAACAATACAAGTGCTGTTTTAGTAGATAATGAGAACTTCAGTACATACATTAATTTCATGTACAATGTACACTAAAACGATACAAGTGCTGTTTTAGTGGATAATGAGAACTTCAGTACATACATTAAATTCATGTACAATGTACACTAAAACGATACAAGTGTTGTTTTAGTGGATAATGAGAACTTCAGTACATACATAACTTCATGTACAATGTACACTAAAACGATACAAGTGCTGTTTTAGTAGATAATGAGAACTTCAGTACACACATTAAATTCATGTACAATGTACACTAAAACAATACAAGTGCTGTTTTAGTAGATAATGAGAATTTCAGTATACAGTATGGTTTATATTATGATTTGAAATTCAGGATTGTCGTCATAAAGTATTTCTGTTTTATTCAGGTTGGAAACAAGTCTGTTTCAATGACTCTTTCAAACAGCTCGGGAGAACAGAGTGTTGTTGTTGTTGAGTATGTTCCCATACAAATTCCTATTACAAACCTAACCCTCACCAGTGATCCACTGTTTATTCCTATTGGTACAAGTGCTTTACTTCACGTTCTGATGGCCAATGGAAGTAGTGTCACCCTTGTATGGGATTTTGGTGATGGCACTGTGATTGAAGAATTCATTGACGGTGAGTAACTTATGTAAATTTTTCTTCCATAAAGTTTTTTGCAGCTAACAACAGCAAGAAATAAATTATAATTTTTCATGTTAAGTTTTGATATATATGTCATTCTGTTCCAAAGTTACCTTAATTATTAATTAAACATGTAAACCTTTTATTCATGTTAATGTAGAGAGTTGGAGAGAATAAAGTTAGAATGAATCGGTGATGTTATTAGATCCATACAGCGAGAAAAACATTTCTTAAAAATTAGAATCATTTGAGAATTTTCTGTTACTCTTAAGTAATGTTACAGTTCCTAGTCCTGTTGTATTAACTACATCCTTTTGTTTTGTGGGCTTCACTCCTAGCCCTGTCTTATTAATTATATACTTGTGTTTTATTGTTTATTTTTTACTGTAAAATGAAGTTTCATTAAAGTGTTTATTTTTTACTGTAAAGTGAAGCTTCATTAAAGTGTTTATTTTTTACTGTAAAATGAAGTTTCATTAAAGTGTTTATTTTTTACTGTAAAATGAAGTTTCATTAAAGTGTTTATTTTACTGTAAAGTGAAGCTTCATTAAAGTGTTTATTTTTTACTGTAAAGTGAAGTTTCATTAAAGTGTTTATTTTTTACTGTAAAGTGAAGCTTCATTAAACTGTTTATTTTTACTGTAAAGTGAAGCTTCATTAAAGTGTTTATTTTTTACTGTGAAGTGAAGCTTCATTAAAGTGTTTATTTTTTACTGTAAAGTGAAGCTTCATTAAAGTGTTTATTTTTTACCGTAAAGTGACGCTTCATTAAAGTGTTTATTTTTTACTGTAAAGTGACGCTTCATTAAAGTGTTTATTTTTTACTTTAAAGTGAAGCTTCATTAAAGTGTTTATTCTTTACTGTAAAGTGAAGCTTCATTAAAGTGTTTATTTTTTACTGTAAAGTGAAGCTAAGTATATCCCTATAATGTATTGGGTACTAAAAGTGATGAAAGTCAGTAACCTTACTATATATGTAGTGAAACAGTGATATACCATTCTATAGTTTGTCAACAAGTAACAGCTGTTTATGAATTTGTTATATTTTTTCTAATATTTTAACAACTTTCTTTATGGTTAGTTTGAACACAAATGGGAACTTATTAACAAGGTGTTATATTAAGATATTCTTCTTTTTTCAGGTATTGTTAATGCCTCAGGACTTATTAACAAGGTGTTATATTAAGATATTCTTCTTTTTTCAGGTATTGTTAATGCATCAGGACATAACCAGTCCTACACGTTTTCTCTAGAACAGACTTATCTAGTCACAGTAAATGCATCAAATCTTCATGGAACATTAAATGCGACACTAGAAGTGCCATGTCAGTATCCAGTTTCATTGAACTGGGAGTTATCAAGTGATTCCCCACAACTCTATCCCCCAGGTTTGTAATGTATTACTTTCACCATGATGTTATCGTTATCTTCGGAACTTAAGGCGGTGTGATATTGTGTGGCATCATCTTGAAGAGAGATCGTTTTAATTTCATTATTCATCATCTTCTAAAGTTCAGTTTAAGTAAGACTAGTTTAACGGAAGGAAGAAGTAGCTAATATCCAGTCAACAGACAGTCATTCAAATAACACTGAATTAGCCTAACACAAATCAAAATGTTAAATAAGTTTTTAACTATTGTTTTTAGCACCTCATGAATAAGTATTTCACAATACAAGACAATAGTTATCATCTAGACACAGTAATAAGTTGTTGTATTGCACAACACAAGACAATAGTTATCATCTAGACACAGTAATAAGTTGTTGTATTGAACAATAGAACAAGACAGTAGTTATCATTCAGACACAGTAATAAGTTGTTGTATTGCATAACACAACAAGACAAAAGATATAATCTAGACTCACTAATAAGTTGTTGTATTGCACAATAGAACAAGACAGCAGTTGTTATCCAGACTCACTAATAAGTTGTTGTATTGCACAACACAACAAGACAATAGTTATCATCCAGACACAGTAATAAGTTGTTGTATTGCACAACAGAAGAAGACAATAGTTGTATTCTAGACTCACTAATAAGTTGTTGTATTGCACAACACAACAAGACAGTAGTTGTTATCCAAACTCACTAATAAGTTGTTGTATTGCACAACACAACAAGACAGTAGTTATAATCTACACCCAGTAATAACTTGTTGTATTGCACAACACAATCAGACAGTAGTTGTTATCCAGACTCACTAATAAGTTGTTGTATTGCACAACACAATCAGACAGTAGTTATTATCCAAGCTCACTAATAAATTGTATTGCATATTGCAACAAGACTGTAATTATTAAATGAACTTGCTTGTAATTAATCAAAGATTTAAATCTTGGTATAGTTCATGAGTATGATGGATACTTAATTTTCTTTTAGGATTGATTAATGCATCACTTACTTATATCACAAGCGACAACTTGCCAACAGAGCCAGAGGGTGTGGTAGATTTCGGTGACGGTACTAAGCAGCAGCTGTCTCTGTTAACAACAGGCGTAGGCCCGTGGTCGTTATCTCTTCCTCATACCTACAGGGCCGGAGGCTTTTATAATCTAACGGTTAACATGAGCAACCTGGTCAGTCAGGAAATCTTCTTTGTTGAGGTAAGAATTTGTTGTTCCATTGGAGATATTTTAGTACTACAGTTAATGCATAAAGGTAAAATTGCCTCTGTAATAGTAGAAACATGGGGGGTGTTGTCTGGATAATAACATGGGGGTGTTGTCCGGATAATAACGTGAGGGTGTTGTTCAGATAATAACGTGAGGGTGTTGTTCAGATATAAACATGAGGGTGTTGTCCAGATAATACAGATAATAATGTGAGGGTATTGTCCAGTTATAAACATGGTAGTGTTGTCCAGATAATACAGATAATAACGTGAGGGTATTGTCCAGTTATAAACATGGGAGTGTTGTCCAGATAATAACATGGTAGTGTTGTCCAAATATAAACATGGTAGTGTTGTCCAGATAATACAGATAATAACATGAGAGTGTTGTCCAGATAATACAGATAATAACGTGAGGGTATTGTCCAGTTATAAACATGGTAGTGTTGTCCAGATAATAACGTGAGGGTATTGTCCAGTTATAAACATGGGAGTGTTGTCCAGATAATAACATGGTAGTGTTGTCCAAATATAAACATGGTAGTGTTGTCCAGATAATACAAATAATAACATGAGGGTATTGTCCAGTTATAAACATGGGAGTGTTGTCCAGAGCTGTCTCATTTCATCTCAGTACAGTGAAAATATGATTGGTTAATGCAGTTGTCTCATGTCATCTCTGTACACTGAAAATATGATTGGTTAATGCAGTTGTCTCATTTCATCTCAGTACACTGAAAATATGATTGGTTAATGCAGTTGTCTCATGTCATCTCAGTACACTGAAAATATGATTGGTTAATGCAGTTGTCTCATTTCATCTCAGTACACTGAAAATATGATTGGTTAATGCAGTTGTCTCATGTCATCTCAGTACACTGAAAATATGATTGGTTAATGCAGTTGTCTCATGTCATCTCAGTACACTGAAAATATGATTGGTTAATGCAGTTGTCTCATGTCATCTCAGTACACTGAAAATATGAATGGTTAATGCAGTTGTCTCATGTCATCTCAGTACACTGAAAATATGATTGGTTAATGCAGTTGTCTCATGTCATCTCAGTACACTGAAAATGCTTGGAAATTTCTGAAAATTCACATAAAGTGTATGTAGATACTGTCAGTCAGTGTATGTGGATAGTGTCAGTCAGTGTATGTGATACTGTCAGACAATGTATGTAGATACTGTCAGTCAGTGTATGTAGATACTGACAGTCAGTGTATATAGATACTGTCAGTTAGTGTATATAGATACTAACAGTCAATGTATGTAGATACTGACAGTCAGTGTATATAGATGCTGTCAGTCAGTGTATGTAAATACTGTCAGTCAGTGTATGCAGATACTGTCAGTCAGTGTATGTAGCTACTGTCAGTCAGTGTATGTAGATGCTGTCAGTCAGTGTATGTTGATACTGTCAGTCAGTGTATGTAGATACTGTCAGTTAGTGTATGTAGATACTGTCAGTTAGTGTATGTAGATACTGTCAGTTAGTGTATGTAGATACTGTCAGTTAGTGTATGTAGATACTGTCAGTTAGTGTATGTAGATACTGTCAGTTAGTGTATGTAGATACTGTCAGTTAGTGTACGTAGATACTGTCAGTCAGTGTATGTAGATACTGTCAGTCAGTGTATGTAGATACTGTCAGTTAGTGTACGTAGATACTGTCAGTTAGTGTATGTAGATACTGTCAGTTAGTGTATGTAGATACTGTCATTCAATGTATGTAGATACTGTCAGTTAGTGTATGCAGATACTGTCAGACAATGTATGTAGATACTGTCAGTCAGTGTATGTAGATACTGTCAGTCAGTGTATGTAGATACTGTCAGTCAGTGTATGTAGATACTATCAGTTAGTGTATGTAGATACTGTCAGTTAGTGTATGTAAATACTGTCAGTCAATGTATTTAAATGCTATCTGTTTATGTGTTTACTTTTAATTAAGCTATTTTCACAATGTTTATTCTCTCCATAGTTGACTGTCTATGAATTTATCTCCAATCTTATGGCTAATGTTACATATTTGGATATTGCTACTGATCCTGTTAATCACCAGCTCTTAAAGGGAGTAAATATGACAGATGCTGTCCAAGGATCAACGCTGTATTTCGACATGTCATGTACAGGTAACAACTGTAAGATTATAATTAAAATAATGTTTTTTATTCGAAAAGTGAAGGAACTTATTTAAATCAGTGAACATGTTCAACATTTCATCGTGTTAATTCATGTTTTATAACCTTGTAATAGTTTGGAATGATTTTGAAAAAGTCTTATCAGAGAAATGATATATTATCTTTCTGTGAAACTCAAGGTACTGTGTCCTATTACACAATGGAGCTTGATAATGGGACTGTTCTTCTCAATAGTTCTACTGGTCCACTTGCTTACAATTTTACTGAGGTAAGTGTCGGACATGTATCTAATTGTTTTTGTTTTTAAAAAAGAGACGGGTCAGTGTTTCCCGTACTTATCCAACTCTTGACCCACCTAAGTATACAGGTACATTTTCAGTTTATTTGAAGGAGGGTGAAAGCTAGCCATTCTAATATATATTTCATTAAAGTCTACGAGTGCTGGCTGGTCTGTAAAACTGAGGTTCTGTGGGTGTGTTATAAATGTGACAGTTAAACCCCAATATTTGGTGTGGCAAGAGCTGGTTGCGGGTAATGTTGACCAGCTGCCTTCCATACTATCTTTTTGTTTTTATGGCTGTTATAATTTCAGTACTATTTGTTAAAGCTGTCAATGTTTGAATACCTTTACGTAATTTGTTTTATGGCTGTTATTTCTTTATACAAAAGAATGTTTTTAATTAAACATAACTCTTAAGACGTATACACATCTACTTAAGAGATGATATGATAAGAACAACAGCTAGTTTTAGGAAGTAGATTGCCTTACATTAAAAGAACATCACAGTGTGTTTTGTGTTCGATCTTGTGAAATGTCCAACCAATGAAGTAACAGCTAGTTAAAAGAAAGAAGTCCATTTTTACCACTCATCAAGTTTCCATTACTTCTTGATAGATAAGATAAAAAATTTAAACACTTTTTATTTCTTAAGTTGTTTTATAAAATCAGAAAAAAGTAAAAGCTGATTATATTATACTGTTTGATATTATATTGTAATATAATATTGTATTGTTTGATACTAAATATCATCCAAACAAAGATTAGGTTCATCAACTCTACAATTAAATTGTATGATATTTAGTATCAAACCAAATATTAGGTTCATCAACTCTACAATTAAATT